CTGTAACACTCTGCAGGACTCGAGAGGAGGTGGGCTTTTTAATAATCCAGGCATCTTCCGTCAACCCAACTTGTCACCAAACGAGCAAATCATTACAGCATCCAAAACCCTCGATACCAAGAAGATCCTAACAAAATGCTCCAAGCTATCCTACAAGGTCTTCAGAACACACTGAAGACCTCCACAGTGACCTATGGAGTCATAAATGTCGTGCTCCTGCTAAGCCTGATATTCATCCTCGTCATCCAAAATGGCAACATTTCTACAACGCACAAGAAGCTCAGACATTTGCGGAGAATCGGCCTATCGACCAGCAACATGGCAGATCAATATGATTCGAAATACGACGTACCAGAAGGAACCACAACCGAGGAACCGGTGCGCATCAAGGCGATCTGCATCCACCCCGTCAAGTCCTGCGGCCGTATCGAGCTGAACCGGGCCTTGCTCACCAAGACCGGATTCATGTACGACAGATGCTTCGCTTTCGCTACGGAACTGGGCAAGAATAATCCCGCCATCGAATCTAAATGGCGGTTTATCAGCCAACGTACCAAGCCAACCATGTCTCAGATCAAGACGGAATTATGGCTTCCGCACAAGAAGAGCAGCCAGCATGACCCGCTTGTCCAAGCAGGTGGATGTGTCGTGGTGACATTCCCCGACCCCGATGGTCCTGGCTGGTTTGACTATCTTGAAAGGTTATTTCATACAGAAAACCCCTTCGCAAAGCCAGAAGTGCGGTTCATCGTACCTCTCCAACCCACGCCCGCCATGATAAACGAATACAAAATCCAATCCAAGACATTCGGCATCCACGACCGTGACGCAAAGGGTCTGGACATGGGAACCATCCCCTCCGTCGCTGAAGCATTGCCTAAATTGAAGAAATACTTGCGAATCGCAAACGATCAGAACCTCACCCTGCTTAGATGTACCTCCGATACCCTCGTGCGCACGGATAGGAATCTCGCACCACTCGAGCACATCGGCACACCCTCCGTGCACGGCTATACAGATCAGCAACCGATCAACATCAATAGCCTTTCTTCCGTCCACGCTGTGTCGACACTCCTGCCGAAGGAAAACCAACCCCTCAATGCACTTCGTTTCCGCGCCAATCTCTGGATCACGGGTGCCCCCGCCTTCGATGAGGAGAGCTGGAAAAGATACCGTATTTTGCCTAAGGGTAGTGACGCAGAACCACGAGCTGATGTAGCCCCGACGGTGTCGGTTGTTTGTCGGACGTCGAGGTGTACGATGCCGAATGTTAACCCGGAGACTGGGGTGCCTAGCGCGGAGAACCCGCCTCCGGAGAAGAAAAGGGGTAAATCCCAGCCGAGTGCGACGTTGGTTAAGTATCGTATGGTCGAGGATGGGAATAAGTCAGCTCTTGGATATATAGGTATGCATTGTGTGCCTGAGGATCGGGCGTTACAGATGGCGGAGGAGCAAGAGAAGGGGTTATATGTCGCCGTTGGCGATGAGATCGAGGTTCTTGAACGTGGGGAGCATCTTTATGGCTCGACGGGTAATGATTACTAGAACTATGATGTTACATGGATAGACGATTAAATATAGATTTCATGACTATGTTTTTCGGGTTCGCGTTCAGTTACGTCTCTAAAGTAATGGTCCTATGAATTAGGATAGAACCTTTTATATTGCCTTTGTACCGACGCCCAACGAGGATTTTAAACACGACGCCACGGAAATTCCGAGTGTAATATATTATGAATTAGTTGCCTATATTTTATTGTGATTTGAATATATGTGAGCACCGTAGGTAAGTCACCATGACCATCTCCTTATCGCATATACTCTCCATGGCTGAGGGAAAATGACAAAAATAATATTCTAAATGAAGTGCACAAAGACAAAGCCTGGCTGTAAGGACTCTAACTATAAGGTATACAAGAATTAAATAGTAAAACCAACTCTAAGCCGTCTTTTCCTCCTGTCTTGCTTCATCCCCCGACGCGGAATCTGTCGCACTCTGTGGCGCATCGATGGTCATCTTCGGGCCGGTGTACCATTTCCTCGCGAAAAGAACATAGTAAATCATCGATGCAATCCAAACAAAGCCGTTGATAACGATTGTGTAGTTCATATCCTGGGCTAAATATCCCGTCAGCATCCGCTAGACATGCATAACGATGGAAAAGGGGAGAAAGAGGGAAACATAAGAAACATACCACTAGGATTCGGCCCCGTGCTAGGGAACATGGACAGGATCAAGCCGAATACCAGCCACACGACGGCAATCGTTGCCAACGGACGACTCAAAACTCCAGTGTAAAATTCGCCCGGTCGGAAGCGCGTCTTGCCCCAAATCAAGCGGCAGAGGATGGGCGTGCCCCATGCGACGTAGTTAGAGGCTACGAATAAGGAAAACAGCGCGTTCGCAGCAACGGAGTTAATCAGGCACAGCAGGCCGAAGATGATGCAGACGATGACCAGGCCGATAATAGCGCGGACGGGCTGGTAGCGGACGCGCTTGCTGACATGGCGGAAATAACCAGAGAAGGGCAGGGCTCCGTCGCGGGAGAAGGCCCAGACTTGGCGGGAGGCGGCGACAATCTGCGATATACCCATTAGCTTCTTGGTTGAGGTATGTGTTTGGTTTGGAGTGAGCGTACCAGACTGAGACCGATAAGGAATTGGATGACGATCAGCACTCCCATGAAGCCGAGAGCTCCTCGCTTGCCCAGGGCGTCGAAGTAGATCTTTTCGTTGCATTAGCCACATGGTTACCGAGCCAGATTGGGATAATAGGAAAGAGTCCTACCTGCGCCATAGGCTGGCCGTACACGGAGTTCATTGTCGCGCTCACATCCGGGTTCATGCAGGCTGCGATGATCGACAGGACGAGGAAACCCAACACACATGCACAACCAGCCGACCAAATGATTCCCAGCGGAACGGCCTTCGCAGCGTGGAGCGCCTCCTCGCTCATATGCACGCAAGAGTCAAAGAAGCCAATGGACCAAATAGGGGCCAAAAAGGAGAGGACAAAGGCCCAACCGGTTGGCCAGGTGGTAAGATTATCGACGTGTCCATAGACAAATGATCCCGAATTGAGCTTTTCGCCACGAGTGACCTTTCCAACAGGGAGAGCGATAACGGTCGCGACGATGATGGCGACGTTGATAAAGATACAGAAGGTTTGGATCTTGGGCATAATTTTTCCGGTATAGATACCACAGAGGGCATGAATGAGAATGAGCCCAACGTAGACGCCGTAGATCGTGCCGTTCGAGGCCGACCAGTTCCCGTCACGAGTGATAGAAACACAAGCCAGCAGCATTAGAGAGAGCGTGTCTGTTCATTAGCATGCGCCTTGTACGACCGAGGGAAATGGTCCCCTTACAATCCACCGAGCACATTCCTCCAATCAACCCCATTGTATTGCTATATCCGACTAGGAAGCTCAGCACCTTCTTGTATTTATCACCAGCGAAGTAATGCGTCCACCAATAGAGACCTCCGGCAGTGGGCATCGCGGACGACATATCGGCCTGCGACCGTTAGTTTCTGTTGCGATCGAAGGGTCGCATTCGGGGTAGCGATTACCATAGCAAGACCGACGGTGAAAATGAAAATACTCGCGGTAAACCAGCCCTACATCATTAGTATCTGACTTGTATGCGACAAGAGGGAAACTCCAAGAGATACATACCCAAACCATACCAGCCGGCCCGGCGGGCAACGAAAACGCGATCGTTGAGGCGATTGACGGCACCAAACCCATAATACTAAACGCGACGGCGAAAATCTGTACGGTCGAATATTGTCGGCGCAATTCCTGCTTGTAACCCATTTTCGCTGCGCAGGTTAGCGATGCTCGAGCATTTTTGCCGCCTGTCACCCCTCAGGTTGCAGCTGAGACGGACGAACCTACCTAGTAACTGCATATCACCAGGATCCGCCAGGCCGGCCTCATCGGCGCTGGGATGAGCCTGGACGGCCGCTTGCGACTCCATCTTGGCCATACTCCCTTAACCGTGCAAGTGGTGTCCCAAAGGGAGGACTTTGGATACTGATATCACCGTTTGCTTGTTGAATGAGTCGAACACCCACCTGCGGAAGCCGTGGGGTCTTAAGGAAGATGCATGAGGGAACCAAGGAAATGGATCGTACACTATCGGAGTGGATTAGTGGATAGCCCAAAGTTAAAGATGCACCAGGTCTGGGAACTATTCCCCTATCGGTGTCGGGAATGTTGCAACACAGTGGAGAATGAGACGGGTATCCCCAATGGGGCAGGGATGAACATGTCTGGGACGTTTGTCGGCCTGGGAAACTCGCCCCCTGATTCAACGCTGTGATAGCCATGGAACTCAAATTCTCTCGAAATTTTTCCATGACAGACAGGCAACCAAAGTCTTGCAGGAAATGAAGAGATGGCGCTGCGACGGGTGGCCAATGATTGTGGTGATGCTCCACATGGCACTCAGACGTGGGTCTGTCGATCCCATGAGTCTCGATCCAAGTGCAGTCAGACTGAGGGATATTAAACGTGAATACATTAATTCCTCCAGTGCCATCGTTGGTCCATTATAGTTACCTTTATCTTAGGAAAATCATGTAATGATCGGCCAGACGTCCCTGAAGAAAACTCATGTTGCGATCCCCCGTAATGGCAAGAGGGAATTAGGGCTCCAGTTTTCCCCCCTTTAGTTCACAGTTGAGTTCAGCCACTACTGCACCAATAATTAACCTAAGACTATCGATTGTTCTGATCGCAATTTCGCACTGATCCTACCCACAATGCCCTTGTACGATTAGACACTCCTTACGTCGACAGTTCAACGAACAAGGATGCCTGCATACTTAGCTTTGGTCCATAGGAACATGGGTTAAGCGAATAAGAGGACATGTACACAGATACTATGGGCTTCATGTCATGCAACGTTGAGTAAAGAAAAAAAAATCTCTTATGGAGTCAATTATCCTAATTGAAAGTTGTCGCTATGGAGATCCTTTGGCCAGCAGAGAAATTCGAAGCTGGAAACAATTTCCTTTTTATTATGCAGTGAGAACGGAGTTGATCTAATTTAGAACTAATGGAACAGACTATCGACTAAAATGGTTAGGAGACCAACGTGACGTGCGCATGGGACTCTTCAAACCCTTCCCAACCACCTTTAACTAACTAGTATGTAACCTTCCACCCGAGACTTTCCCTCAACAGTTATTAATCCTTGCTTGCGATGTAACTACACATTATTAACAAATAAAATGAACTTCAGGATCCTATGTCGCCCTGGCTATCCCGCAGATAGCAGCCACCCAGGCAGATGAACAAAAACATCAGCGTAAAAAGCGTCGTCGAGTCCAATGGCAAGATTCATGGCTCATCTGGTTCCAGCTCGGCTGGCAGCTAGCGGTTAAACCTGCTCTGCACCGTTGACATGTTGCGGTTGCGCGCCATGACCATTAGGCGAATGCGCCCGGTTTAATGTGGACGAGTCGGAGAATTGGACCGACGGCCGGTTCATCGTGGCATCCCAGGATCCGGGGCCGTTCTTGGCTTCCCACTCGTTATAATCCTGTCCCGGATTGGCGGTCTGGTATTCCATCATCCTCAGGAGACCAAAGAAACCGCACGCCAGCAAGGAACCAAGCAATGGACCGACCCAGTAAATCCAGTGGTAACCCGGGAAGCTGCGGTTGATGACGTCTGGGCCGAGAGAGCGAGCAGGATTGAGGGAGCCGCCGGTATAGTAGTCACCTATGTTGATGTGTGTCAGATAAACAAGGCGATGCCAGCAACAGAAGACCGACTCACCAATCATCTCCGTGACAAAGAAGACTAGACCAATTCCGACCGGGGCCAGGAAGGTTGACTTGTGTTTCACCACTGCCAACATGATGATCACAAAGACAAGTTGCGCGGTGAGGAACATCTCAATGAACAGCCCCTGGGAGATGGATGCTCCTCCTCCTAAACGGGTTGCGACATTCAAGTCGCCCGGAAACAGTGCGCTGACCACACCGGCCGATGCGATACCACCCACGATCTGAGCTGCGAAGACGAGGACTCCACGAATGGGAGACAAGCCTCCCACGAGGCATAACGCCAGTGTGACCTGCTGCTGTTAGCCTGGACACCCCAGCTATCACATATGCAACATTACTGCTGGATTGAAGAGACCGCCCGTCACGCGGTAAAAGGCCCAGACGTTGACCATCAAGGAAAACCCGAACGACAAGGACGAATAGAGCAAGTTTGCTGTATTCGGCGGAGCACCTTCCACCGGCTTGGGCGTATTGGACACCTGAGTGCCAGCGAACGAGAAAAACAAGAACAGGAAGGTTCCGACGAATTCTCCGATGACGGCAATGACATTGTTCCGCACAGTGTCTTTCAGATGTAACATGGGGAGCTGCTTCTGAGTGGATCTGTACACCGGCGTCGAGTCAGGGTGCTCAGCGCGATCAGCGCGAGCTCCGCGTTTCAGAAACTTCATCTTGCTGTGTGAATGGCCTCAGCTCTACTTAGTAACTTGGTGATGGAGAAAAGCACGATTCTTGCGACCGACCAGCTCTCGCCAGAAGCTTTCGTGCATATCTACTCTCACACCCCGCCTCAGCCAATATAACTGGCTTTTATACTGCTGTGCAGCCTCATGTCTGATTACGGGTGAGAACGTCATGACTTGAGTGCAGTCTTTGTTGCAATTGAACTCTGTCCGGCCGGAAATGACCGCATACGGTCAGATTTCCCAGTAATGGAAGTACTGGAAGGCAAGCTGCAGGAGACATTTCCATGGTTATAGTCCGGAGAGCCTGCCTCATCTAGAGCTTGGTGGCAGAAACTCCTTCGTACTCCCACTGACCTAGGGAACAGGCCGGAGTGGCCGAGGTCTAGACCCCTCGGCGGTGAGTGCGTCTCGTAGAGATAGAACGTCAAATGCAGATGAGGCCGATGATTTCTATCAATCATATATTCTTCACTACATGCAAGAGCCCTCACTATTACTACACTATTCAAATGTCCCGTATAAGTTGAAGCATGGTTCTATGATCACGAACTAGGCCAGTGGAACAATGGAGTAGATCGAAGACATGCCAAGCTGCGGTCGTGTGAGGTCCACCGAGATCGTCCAAAAAATGTGGGCTACGCACCAGAACCCCTATGATCTCATGACTTCCACCTGTTCACCTCGTCTCTGATGCCTACTCTAAGTATAGTTTTGTTCCAATACATAGAATGAGGAGGATCGATTTGTCTTATTCCCGTCCTTTTTGCTCTGGCTCGACCTGGATGGTGCCACTGGAGAAAAGTCTTCCCACTCTCTCAAACGCCGAGAATTCAGCGAACACGGACCACTTTCCCGAAAGTTTCCGACGAATGGGCTGATAGGACTAGGAAGATCATGGCCTCAGTTCGCTAACACGAGAGTCCAGAGTAGTTCACACACACACACACACACACACACACACACACACACACAATCAATGCGGAGGACAAGAAAGACCACGTACGGGGTATCCTGGCGATTATTCAATATGCAGCATCTTCCCTGCTAGTCATGGGGTTGAAAACTTGATATGAGGAGAGAGAGAACATCGACCAATCAGGTTTAGTGGCTTATCATTGTCTTGGCTCTGATTCCCTAGAGCAAACAACGTAACGTATCATTGCTTCTGAACCCTTCCAGACGTTCCAGTCTTTTCATACCCCGCGGAGATGTGCGATGAACCGCGGAGATAGAGGGCAACTATCGGCCTATGTACAAGAGAAATTTTTACCAAATATCCACATTCCGGTGTTTACCCTTCGGCCGATGACCAGGAACGAAAGAGGTCACCCAAAAAAGAAAATTTGCGGCACGGAAAATGGCGACACGTTGCCCAGAGGTTGCCCAAGGGCATGGGCTCATCAGTAGTATAAATACCACGACCAAGACTGACAGTTGCAGGAGGGGTAGCCCTAATTACTAGATTTAAAACGTCACATCCCACCCCTCATCTGTTCACTACTCAATTCTTCAGACCATCCCTTCACCATGCCGCTCTCCCCTGAACAAATTCAGCTCATCAAGGCCACCGTGCCGGTCCTCCAGCAGCATGGCACCAACATCACCACCGTGTTCTACAACAACATGCTGACAGCCCATCCTGAGTTGAACGCCATCTTCAACAACGCTAACAAGACGAACGGTCATCAGCCCCGCGCCCTGGCTGGTGCCCTCTTTGCCTATGCTTCGCACATCGATGACCTGGGAGCCCTTGGTCCTGCCGTCGAATTAATCTGCAACAAGCACGCGTCGTTGTATATCCAACCCGAGCAATACCAGATCGTGGGCAAGTTTCTGTTGGAGGCCATGGGCGAGGTCCTCGGTGATGCGCTTACCCCCGAGATCCTCGACGCCTGGGCCACCGCATACTGGCAACTGGCCGACCTCATGATCGGTCGCGAGGCCGAACTGTACAAGCAGGCCAACGGATGGACGGACTTCCGCCACTTCCGTGTCGCAAAGAAGGTCCCCGAGTCCTCGGAGATCACCTCGTTCTACCTCGAGCCCGTCGATGGCGAGCCCCTCCCCAAGTTCCGTCCCGGCCAGTATATCTCCGTTCAGGTTTTCGTGGACTCGCTCAAGTTCCCCCAATGTCGCCAGTACTCCCTGAGTGACGCCCCGCGGTCGGACTACTACCGTATCAGTGTCAAGAGGGAAGCCGGCCTCAACACCGCTGAGCCCAACGCCCCCGCTCACCCAGGATACGTGTCCAACATCCTCCACGCACACATCAAGGAAGGCGATGTCGTCAAAGTCTCCCACCCCTTCGGTGACTTCTATCTTTCCGACGCCGAGAGCCCCAACCCCATTGTTCTCCTCGCTGCCGGTGTCGGTCTCACCCCTCTGACCTCCATCCTGAAGACGCTTACCTCGAACCCCACGGATGCCCCCCAACGCAAGATTCACTTCATCCACGGTGCCCGTTCCGCAGCTGCTCGTGCCTTCAAGAAGGACATTGACTCCCTGGCGGAGAAGTACCAGAACCTGCACGCCACGTTCTTCGAAACCCACCCCGCTGCCGAGGAGAAGCAGGGCGAGGATTACGACCACCAGGGCCGCGTCGACATCTCCAAGCTGGACAAGATCAAAGATCTGTTCCTCAACGATCCCAAGACGGAATACTACGTCTGTGGCCCCAACGATTTCATGACCTCCACGCGTGCTGCGTTGGCCGCTGAGGGTGTCAGCGAGGATCGCATTAAGCTGGAGCTCTTCGGCACTGGCGGTGTTCCTGCTTAGTTTGGTTTTCTCTTCTTTTTTTCTAGATATAGACCATACCTAGACCATCTGTCTATAGTTTAGATTCTCCTCTCCTGCCGTTATGAGTTACGATATAGCATAATCATCACATTTTCAACATCGATTCCACATATATCTTTACTATAAGCATATTTATAAACTAATATCGTTGTCATTGTAATCATATGATCATCCGCATTACTATACGTACTGACAATATAGACAATTCCTAACTAGGAGCGATATTACTCCGAGACCCTCTCATGGCATTGGCCGAGTCGATAGCTCTCTTCAAAGTGGAGTTCGCAGAGCTCGAACCGTGGAAGAGTGAACGTTCGCCGATCTGCACGGCTAAAGACCCCATAATATATGGACCTCAGCATTGGCAGGAAAGCTTCCAAGTTTCGACGCTATTAAAATGTGGCTATTATGTCTGCCGATTTTTTATTTTCATTTTTAAATTTTTTTTTTTCTCCTTTTTCCCATTTTTCCCAGGAGTTTGGTCCGCTTAATCAATTTGGATCTTCTCAGTCAGTGACTGACCTTCCCTCATTTTCTGCTTTTCTTTTCCCCACTGCCTCCTCTTTTGTGTCATGTTTAAGTATATATTCCCAACCGATCAAATACAATGAAAACAAATGTTGAGGTCAATGCAGTGAAAATAATATATTTCAAAGTTTTAATAAACTTCAAAAAAATATAGATTCTGAAATTGGTACTTCACAGTTTAGTTTTCTGGAAAAAGATACTTTGTATCGATCACAAATACAAATATAGTTACCTATTGAGTTTCAATAAACTAATCTCTGTGAACCGAGATACTTTTTTCAAGGTTTCCAATTAGATTTCATCCCAAAGAATTGATTGAATCGGAAATCATGAATATTCAGCCACTCCATCGAAGAACCGTGGTTTCACCAAAAGAAGGCACCATGAACCAGGGGCATTTTTTGCGAGAACATGGGATTATTTTATTTCTTCTTTTATAAATCAAGATTTAGACTCATTTTCATTGTTTCAGTGGCTTCTTTCATCCAGTGCTTCAGATGTTATATCGAACTACAACTTCTACAAAGAAGAAAAGAATTGTACTAGTAAATTTGCATTACTAGAGATATAATCATACCATAAAAAGTATATATATGTATGTCAGAACTCAAAATGTATATTCATGTACATGATGACAGAAGAAGAAAAACGCCATGATTCCCATTAATTTGTCGTAACAGAAGGATAATATTTCCCGCTTAAATCATGGTATAGTGTAACATAGTAATTCGTACCGAAAACAGCGATGCGTATAGAATTTTATATCGTTGTTCGTTTACAGAGCAGCCATGACACCCAGAACACCGGCGACACCGGCGATACCAGCACCGAAGCTGAAGGGAGTGGGCATGGCACCTGCGTCGTCGCTGGTGGTGGAGGAGGCACTGCCGGCCGAAGAGGAAGAGGAGGAGGAAGAAGAAGAAGTACCGGTGCTGGAGGAGCCTGTAGTGGTGGTGGTCTCGCTTCCGCTGGCGGAGGTGGTCGAGACGACGCCGGTGGAAGTGGGCTGACCGTTGGTGCCGGTCAGGGTGGTCAAGCTGTCGCTCAGCTTGGAGCTGGCCTCAGACGCGACGGAAGAGCCCCAGCTCTCGGCATTAGAAGCGACGGAGGAGCCCCAGCCCTCTGCACTGGAGGCGGCGGCGCCCGCGGCCGAGGTGATGGATGAGGCAGCACCGGGGACACCGGTCTCAACGGCGGATGCCACGGCGGTTGCGCCGCTGGCAATGTCGGAAGCGATGCTCTGGCCGCCGTTCACAGCGGTCTGGGCGATACCAGCAGCATCGGAGATGATTTGGTCGAGCTGGGGAGCGGCCAGGGCGGAGGTGGAGAGGAGCAGGGTGGTGAGAAGAGTCAACTGCATTTTGAAGGAGTTATGTATAGAATGTGGATAGTTTTTGATGACCGTGGAGGTAGAGGTATGGAAGTGATTGATATCTGAGATGGGGAGGTAATCCACAGATTAGATTTGTGATTGGAATGATCTGAATAATTTCCCGTAAATCTGGAGAGTCCCAGGCTCCTTAAATATTTTCTTCTCTGCCCTGTATTGATGATAAAATTGGATCGGCATAACAGTCACAGCTATGGCTCCAGTGGCAATGCACTACGATGGAGACCACAGCCACGAATCACCGCGGACCTGGTCGCCCAACTTACGTTTCACGGTAAAGTGTGCTTGGATCCACGGCTCCACAGCCGTTTTCCGGAGGCTTCCATGTGGGATTGAGAGAGATCGAGGACGTGGTGTTTGTTCTCCCCATCTGGTGATATTCCGGTCGGAAGGTGTAGTGTCTCTTGACTTCACTCACGTTAAATTGTGCTATGAGGTCATGATAGACGTCACTTTAGACTACTATCCAGGACGACAAGTTGTCTAGGACACTCTAGCACACTTTTAGCACGGAGAGTACCCTGTCCCTAGTACCCTAGTCTAGCCCGAGGCCGCGAGTTGCGTTGCCAAGGTCACAAATCCCCTGTCCTGACCCACACCACACTTTTGTCATATTTCTATGAATAGCCCCTATTTCCCTCAAAAACCAGTCTCGCCCCGGGACCACTGCTCTAGGCTGCTGCCGAATGATAGGACGATCGTCCGCCAGTCCCGGTTTTTTGTGGACTTGGCATTTGTCCAGTCTACGTGGTGGGTATTGCGATCCAGTCCTGATTGCCGTAGAGGATGACGTTGGTGGTCTTGGCTACTTTGGCTTCAGTTCTTCCCCCCCCCCCCCCCAACCCCAAACGAGCCAATTGGGCGATTTTGACGGAATTCCTGCGCCTTGGAAAGTTTGTTGGGATTAGACAGTAGCCCTGTCGGGACTTTGGTCTTGAGAGTTTTCCTCGGTTATGGTGGCGGAGTGGCGGTGCCCTTGAACATTTTCTTATGGCGGTGCAGATTATGTCAGGTTGTGTCGGCTTTATCCGCTTGACAAAATGCATAAAATTACCAAAAATACAACCACTGCCTCAGTGGCTTTGCCTTTCGGTAGAATTCCGCTTGGCATCCAACAGCCTGCCTTACAAGGATTCGCCGAGGTCTAAAAGCTAGATGGCTCGGAAAGCCAATGACGTGCGTGTCTTGTTCGACATGAACCGTAGAACTGCTTCTTGGAACCACCACCTCCGCGCGGCCTATGGTGAAAGGTTCAGTTACACGGCAGAGCATCGGATAGATTGGGTACCAACGAGATCCAAGAACTCTCGTCGCAGCAAACCACATCAGAATAACCTTTAGGCTCCAGTTTGCTATTCCCACGGGCTGTGTTTCTTTAATTAGTCCCCCGACGAACCCTAATGTGCGGCTTGGTGGAAACACTGATAGTTTGAAGATGGTGATGAGATGATCGCTTTCGATGGCATCTACAGCAGACAGTCTTTTGCGGTAGGTCTATGAAAGAGTATTATAGATATGACTTTACTGGTAATGGTACTCTTATCTAACTTTTACTATTTACCACTATCCTTATTGTCTTACGTTATCTCAGGCTATAGTAGAAGGCTTTATAACTAAACATATCATAAATCTTCATACACACAGGGAAAAACACAGTTCAGAACATAGCAGCTCATAATAAAAGTAATAAAAGGCTCACCACTCGAATACCTGATGCCTTTAATATAACTCTCCAATTCCACAATAGCATACTATATCCCCATTGTTGGTTACAGTGTTACCAAGTTAGGTGGCTGTTTGTCCCGCGCTTCATGTAAGCATAAAAGAGACAGTCTCGAAGTATTCAGTTACGCTGAAGCAATGGGAAAGTATCTGTAGGTCCCAAAAGCTTACACTTTGAACAAGGCACATCATCAGGATTCTTGGAAGTGGACCCATTCCCACTATCTTTAGTTAGCTAGGACACCTCTAAAGATGTGCTTTATAAAGTATATAGACAGCACGGGGATACGTACTCATTCACCCCCCGTGACAGAGTAGAGTAACATTGACTTAAAGTCTAATTTGGAAGTAACTTCGGTCCCATCGCCGACCGCGCACGTTGCAATCAGTTTATGCATAGTATCTTTCTCCCCGTCGAGCTTCACGTCTCTACAGGTGTGAATAAAATTACCGGGCGGCTTAACCGGGGATAGCCTTGGGTGCGACACAGCTTCCGCAGGAAGGTCCTGAAGTTGCTGAGGCAGAGCCAGAGCTGCCAACGGCAGAATAATGAAGGATAGAAGTAGATGCATATCTTTAGGTGAAGTGATAATGGTAAGCTTAATGATATGCATACTTCTGAAGGCATCTATAGGGCCTGGTAATATCATCCTCATTGTATTCCTTTGGAGCAGGCATTGTTGTCTGGTAAGTGTCTTGAATACATTTTTCCGTGAGATTCTGCACTCCCAGTGAAGAGTGTTTCTTTGTTAATCTATATCCTGAAACCCCATCATTGTTGGGCAAGCCGGGCAACGGCACGCAGGCTCTGGACAAAAGGGCGTGTACCAAAAGTTGTTGCCCTGGTTCGTTCAGCGGATCGTTCAATTGGTGATTGACCACATGATAAATGACTGGCGTTGCTACTTTTGGTGCAAGCCTCCATAAGGCTATGTCTTTAATCTGAACCTTTGACAATAGAAATTTCTGCTCGGAGCCCGTGTCTGTGCCGCTACCACGGCGGAAAGATGTACTCGATCGGTACAACTATAAGCTGCCGGTCTTTGTTGGTCCACGCAAGGTGGCTATCGTCTTACCGTGTGCCAAGTCGTATGCACCCAACAATCTTGGCAAAGACATCCAGCGACGCTGTGATACATTACTACGACGCTTCCATCGCTCATGTTTCTATCCGGACAACACGACTGGTTCATATGATCTTGACCGCATCGCTCGAAATTGACGTCTGAGACATTGTCTGAATACGAACATTATCGCATATCCGCAGTGATCGCTCTCCATGTATCAGAGAATGGACCAATGACCGCCCAAGACTGTTTCATGAGGGGATGGGTTTCAGGGAGACGGGAGAGCTGCAACAGTAGTTGTTTGATGAATGGGGCAGTGGACCAGGGGTACACACTACCTTACGGTTGTATGAGTCTAACCTGGCTCGTGCAATGGTTTGAGGTTAGTGTGGCTGATGTTTTCTGTGTATCCCTACCTTTTACCAACATTGGGGCTAGCCCATCCCGTGATCTGACCTTACTCTACGTCATGAAGAATTTGGAAACTGATACTTATCTGTGGGACAAGCCGACAATGAGTTTTGGATGACATTTGGATCTGCGATGCTGCTTAAAGACACTCATAGCTACTGATTTCACCTGCTCTGTACAGCTCAAATCACACTGGACTTATCTATTGAGACCACTGGAGAGACTGTATGGAGAAATAGAATAACCAAACTCGCTGCATCTGCGGCATGCTTTAGTTGTGAACCTGTGTACACGAATACCGGTTGTATCAATCTATGTTTTATTTATAGCTTTCTCATTCCGGGAGATAATCCGGCCGTCGGACAAATGTGCAGCCTTTCAGCGCACCCGACTTCTTCGATGTCTTGTAATTTTTTTAATCCTACACACACAATATTTGGGGAAACTTAGCTGTTCGACATGCCAGTCTATAAGTTCAACGATGAATATGGATAATCTCGAGCCACGATACTGCAGAGGGTGTTCAGCTCCCCATGTGTTAAAGGGTTTGGGATACGATTACTTTGACCGTGAAAGCAAACGAAGAGTCGACTGTAAAATGTGGCTGCCCCTTTATCCCACCCTGTCTGACGATGAGTCTGATCTGATTATCGTCGATAAAAGGAAAACGCATCGCCGACATACACCTCACACAGGAAACCTTTGAGAACTACAACGACCATTCGAGTGAGTGCTGATACAAGGGCAGTCAGCCCCTGACAGAGGAACAAAGGTACCCTTTCCACGTGCGAATGTTTCTATAGAATGATTCTGATATTTCAGCACACTGATTGATTGTTTTAGATGCTGAAAATGGCAAAACCGCCTCCTATACTCATTATGCGAAGGCTCACCTGACTTCTACGGGTAAAGCTGACGCACGGCTCTAAGGGCTTGACCTTTTGAGAGATAACTGTAGATAATGAATGGGATACCCCGGTCACACACTCCGACTTCCTTCGCGGGAATGAACGATTGCCTGTCCAACGACGAATCGTTATCAGGTCTACCATTGCACAAAGACCATCCACTGTCTGACGGAAGTACACATTGACAGAGTCGTCTCGTCATGCAATGGGCTATAGAAGGAGTGTTTGGAGTCCACCTCCCTGATTGCCATACTCAAAGGTCTTTCTCAGATTGCATCGGATATCAATGAAAAGACCTGTGTTCCAGGAACGGTGAGAAGGACAGAGGCTCAAGTAACTGCCTTTGCGAGATACCGCCAGGAAGGTCTATATAGTATGGGCAAGTTGCTTTCTGGGTTCTACAACATCCAATTATCTTCTAAACTCACCCTGCTCTACTTGTACACATTCCACGTCTTTGCAATCATGGCGCAGTCGCCCAATCCAAAGGCGCCACCCGGATTCAAATTCCTAGAAGTCATTATTCCGCTCCATGCAGAGGCTGAAACGAGTGCCGGTGACCTCATTCGGATAAGAGAGCACCTTATTACGCAGAAAACCCTTATTCAGCAAACTTCGCCCAACAATCCCAGTAGTTACGACCTTACCTTCTCAGTCTGTGAGGACATGGAAGGGGAAGACCCGGTTTTGGGTGGCGAATATAGCAAAGAGAATGCGCTCAAAATGATACGCATGATGCGCAGTCGTGAAGAGCAGCAGGTCATGTATGCGAATTTTACGATACTTGTTCGACAACACGTCCGGTCTGACTGGGACGGACAGACGCCGTATCCTGCGGCACCAGAAAATGGTCCCGAACATCTGAGATTCGGAAACCTTTACTTTAACTACGACTTTGTGGTTTGCTATAATGCTGTCGTGTCTATGGTAGAGCATCTGATCGCAAAAGAGAAGAAGGAACGGGATGCAGCGAAACATGGAGTGCAGGACACGGGTATTCATCATCCCACTCTCAAGCGCAAGTATTCTTATCCAGACCCTCTGGGGCCTATGAAAGATTTTTTTTTTGTTTGATAAAAGCAGTCATAATGAAGATGATCTGAAGCATGCCCATAGTGTGTGATAGTCTGGTACTATCGGAGTTTGGGCGAATGAGTTGTTTGGGTGATTGCTTTTCAGGGCTCTACATGAAAATCACGAATTAGAGTTGAATGTCTCCTGAGTTTTTAGGACAGAACAGAAAAGGCGAAAGAAAGGAGAAAAAAACTGGGAAAAAAAAAAAAAAGCCTGAAAATGAAAGACCCTAGGTCAAAAAATAGGCAGATTGAATGATCTTGTGCACTGTAAAATTTACGTTATGTAGTTTTAACATATATGGTTGACATGAGTAAATGTTTGTATTTGCCTTTTAGATAGTGATAGGGGACGAAAACCATAGCTAGATATGCAACACTATACTTGACTAATCTAAGAGAAGCACCATTATTCTAGGTTTCCTGAGATCGAAGGCTTAAAAAGTCTAATGGATGGATTTCTGGATTTCCGAAAATGGGTGACGGGCAGGTGAAACCCACGATGGATTGCGCTTATTTTCTCTAAAGCCCGCCTCGCCCCACCTCAAATACAACTCTAGCCCTGGATAGGTCGGGCTGTATTTGTTGTGTAGAGGGGGTGATGTAAGTGAAAGTCACTAAGAAGCCTATAGGGTAATGCTGCAAAGGGAGTTCACGCCAGGAAGATGCCTAAAGTCAAATTGTGGTGCAGTCTTAGCCAATTGATTGTGTAGTAGAGGTTTAAGATAAGTTAGGATTTTCCCGTCCCGGCCGCGAGTGGGTTTGGTTGACACCGAATTTACTCAACCAGGTTAGGATTGACCATGTCATAAGTGTTCTTGCCAAACAAGAGCGGGTCTAGAGTAGCGTTGTCCAGCGAAGCAGGGTAGTATCCAATAGCACTATCCGAGGGGGACTGTGAACTAGCTTCTTAGCATACACACTATAATTGAGGAATCGTAAGGTTATCCTGACACATAAATACTTCAGGGTCTCCAGCATGAGTATTACTTCCCCAACATAATAATCAGGGGCGTCGTGTACATTGCCGTGTGAAGCTTTGATTGCGCTATTTTTAAACGAATTTCCATCGTGAACTTATGTTATATGACCAGCGAGCCCCGCCCTTATCTTCAAAAATAAGGTTACACTGCAGGGCCACTCAGCCTCATTTTATTCTGTTTGTGCGGAGAGCTTCATTTGATTAATTTTCAAGATGTCCTATGCCACCGAGCATGGCGAATATCGACTTGGAGCGGACGTAGGAGGCACATTCACCGATATATGCGCATTTACGCCCGACGGACAGATCGCGAGAGCCAAAGTACCAACCACTATCGAGGATCAAAGCATCGGTATCAAGAATGGCATCCAGAAAGTTCGACAACAACTGAAAGAGCGCTACTCCTGGGACGGAAAATTTCAATTCATCCACCATGGGACAACAACCGCCACAAACGCTGTTCTCGAAGGTAAAGGTGCACGGACCGGTCTTATCGTCACTGCAGGTCATAAAGACATCTTGGCTGTTCGTCGCTCTCAGATTCCCGGTGGTCTCGGTGCCTGGCTACATTACACTCCTCCGGAGCCGATCGTGCCACTGGAACGTGTGCTTCAATGCCAAGAGCGCATGTCCGTGAATGGCGAATCGGTTATTGCCGTGAATAAGGATGCGCTGCGTGCTGAGTTGAAGGCATGGAGGAAAGACCGACCGGAGGCTGTGGCGGTCTCGCTACTCAATTCTCATTGTAACAATGAGCATGAATTACTGGTTGCGGATATCGTGCGTGAAGAGCTCGGATCTGATATCCCAATCATCTGCTCTGGAAATGTCCTTCGTGAGGTTGGGGAGTACGAGCGAACAGTGACGACCTGTACTAATGCGCTCGTCAAGCCGGTTGTTCAAAGCTACCTAGGTAACCTGCGGGATCTGCTGGCAGAGGATGGGAATACGATTCGTATCCTTAAGTCTGACGGTGGTCTAACCAGTTTGGACCTGGCCGGCGAGCTTCCTGTCAACATTTTAATGTCTGGCCCAGCAGGAGGAGTCCAAGGCGTTGCGGACGTTGTGACACGAAACACGCCGTACAAAAATCTGATCACGTTCGATATGGGTGGAACATCCACGGACTGCGCTTTGATCTATCAAGGAAAACCTCGCCTGCGTCGCGAGACAGTGGTGGGTGACTTAACTGTTCGCTCGCCCGCCGTGGACATTCGGACAGTCGGAGCTGGAGGAGGTTCGATTGCCAAGTATATGGGTATTACTGAAACTATGAGAGTGGGACCAGAGAGTGCAGGTGCAAGTCCCGGACCGGCCTGTTATCGCAAAGGGGGAGTTGAAGCTACCGTTACAGACGCGAATTTAGTCTTGGGATACCTGCCGGAAAAGCTATTAGGAGGAGAATTCACACTCGATGTTGAGGCTTCAGTTGCCGCTGTTGATACTATTGCCTCTCAGATGAAGCTCACCGTCACACAGACCGCTGAAGATATCATAAACCTCATAAACGAAACCATGTACGGAGCATTGCGTTTAGTGTCTGTTGAACAGGGCTATGACCCTAAGGATTTTGCACTCGTTGCATTTGGTGGTGCAGGGCCACTGCATGCCAACGCGGTTGGAAAGCTTCTTGGTGCTTGGCCAGTCATCGTCCCTCCATCGCCGGGAACACTATGTGCGCTGGGCGATGCTACCACCCGGTTAAGCCATTCCCAGTCATCATCCTACATCCGTTTGCTCTCCATGACATTACCCCGGGAGGTGAAAGCCCGATTCGGTGAACTTGAAGCAGCATGCAGGGCAACTATGCAAAGTTCCAACGGGGGTCATCCTATGGAGCTCAACATCAGCTACCACATGGACCTCAGGTACAAGGGTCAAGCATTGAACTTGACGGTCGACTTGCAGAGCGATGACCTATCCCTTGACCGTGAAGCCTGGAAGGCACTGTTACAGGCAAAGTTCGACCAGTTGCATGAACAACAATTTAAATACTGCCTTCCCAACTTCGAACTGGAGCTTATGCGACTAGAGGTTGTCGCTGTTGACGCCTCCCCAAGCATTGAGCTCCCTCGGTTGAACGACGCTACCACTAATACGCCACCAGTTGAGGCAATGGTAAGCAGGAAAGAAGTCGTCATTGAAGGCAAGATTCTGGAGGCTACACTCTGGGATCGTGAGAAGCTTAGCTACCAGGGCGTACGTGTTCAGGGCCCTTGCATTATCACTGAAATGGACAGCAATACTCTGATCCTTCCCGGTTGCTATGGAGAGATAGACGCTATTGGCAACATTCTGATCCGCCCAGATGGAGAACTACAGAGAGAGCGACCGAAGGATCAAACGGCAGAAGAGGCTGAGGAGACAGTTAGGTCTACCCCGTTGATCCCAACCTTGGTAGCATCTGCTTTGGCCTCCATCAGAAGTGAGATGGACACATTAATGCTCCGTTGTAGCATGTCACCAGCAATCCGCGAACAGCAGGATGAGTTTAATGTAATAACCACGGCAGATGGCAAAATGCTCGTCGGCCAGTTCGGTAGCTTTATCACCCAATTTCTCCGGGCTTGGAGAGGACCCATCCATGAAGGCGATGTTTTCATCACTAATGATACCTACATGATTGAAGGAGCAGTTACACACTTGAACGATGTTATTGTTCTTTTACCTATCTTCTTTGAGGGTAGCTTGATTGGATGGGCGTCGCAGTTCGGGCATTTAACTGATGTAGGGGGTATGGTCCCAGGAAGCATGTCTATCAACGCTACATCCATTTTCGATGACGGAGTCCAGATACCCATCATCAAACTCTACTCCAAGGGGATCATGAACACAGATCTAGTTGACCTACTCTGTCGCAATTCGCGTCAGCCAGACTGGTACCGGTCAGATCTGATGGCGATCATTGCCGCCTGTCGAACTGCCAACAGCCGAGTTTGTGAGCTAGCTACGCGATTTGGATCTCAAATCTACCTCGCCGCATGTTCAGAGCTACTTGTTCGCAATCGTACAGGAATGGCTAAGATTATCGAGACGGACTTTGATGATAAGCCATGTACGTTTACTGACTTCGTGGACGATGACGGCCATGGCGTTGGCCCCTGGGCTCTTACTTGCACGATGAAGAAAACCGAAGGAAATCGGCTGTTGTTCGACTGGAGCGGAACCTCACCCCAGAGCGAGCATAGTATCAACTTCTACCTGTCAGAGACTATGTTCAAGATGTTCATCGGTTACTACATGATTGCGGCAGCAGCACCTGGCACCGTGATCAACGATGGCTTCCATGATCTGATCGATATTCATATCCCCGAGGGCACCGTGCTGAAGCCTATTAGACCAGCAGCTATCTCTTGCCGCACACATCTTCTGGGCAGAACAATGGACGTAATGCAGGCACTCATCGGCAAGAAGAATAAACTATACGCAGCGGCAGCTGGCTTCAGTGACTCACCACACTTCTTCTACTCTGGATACAAGCCCGACGGAGAGTGGTATCAGTTATACCAGATTGGATTTGGTGGCGTGCCAGCTCGGAATGCGGGCGATGGACTTGACTGCCACTGTCTCTTCCCGGCCATCAAGTCGATTCCTACAGAAAGTATTGAACTGAACTATCCACTACGCATCGAAGCCAATGAGAGTGTCCCAGACAGTGGTGGCCCGGGATACTACCGTGGTGGTAACGCACAACGCACACTCTATCGGTTCCTGTGTCGCGGAGAGTTCAGTCTGCACGATGACCGCTGGTTTACAAAACCATGGGGAATTCGAGGCGGTAAACCAGGCTCCCGTTCGCGGAAGATCCTATACCGATTCTCGAAGTCTCGAGAAAGTCCCCCGGTTGAGGTACTCCCCTCAAAATGTGACCACATTCGCGTGGACCCCGATGATCTACTTGAATGGGTGACATGGGGTGGTGGTGGACTGGGAGATCCACTGACCCGGCCAGCAGAGAAGGTCGCCTTGGAGATTCGCCGGAGACTGGTGACTGTCGACGGCGCCCGGAATAACTACGGAGTAGTTGTCAACCCTGACGATCTTAGTGTATGTGAAGAGGAAACTGTTGCTTTGAGGAAGAGTATGAAGGAGGCTCGGGATGCGCTAGGACAGACGCCGGAATACGATCGAGGCGGCTCAATGGAGGAGTTGAGAGAATCGTGTCTGAGAGAGACAGGGCTTCCTGCTCCAAGCCCACAGTGGGAGCTGGATCCATATGGACCCCACGTGCGACTCCCTTATGTTAGGGACTGGTTTACGCGGATGAAGGAGGTGAAAGGATGGGAGTTGAACTAATCAAGATATCGGTCTTTCCGCGCGGATCGTTGAGGTAACAAACTTTAGTCTCTTCTATATGGAATGCGAAACTCGACTGTTAGCAACCAGATACAGAAATAACAGTATGCTACAGGATTGAATCATGAGAGGCTTGGCTCGGATTGTAGCATTGATCAGTCATCCTGTAAAGAAGCACTAGTCATCGCATAAATTACTCTTGACCCTTTCATGGTACAGACATCGATCTCAGAAGGTGCGAGAGGAAATGAAATCATACGGCACGATCCGAGAGTGCGCTTGATGCTTGGGGATGCCAGCCCTGAGCTGGCATGACTTGACTCGGTCTGAGGGAACATCTTTTCTCCCCAACAAACAAGCCACTTACCAAATCAAGTACACTATGAAGGGAACTAGCATAGTATTTCCATGCTTATTGGCAAACAGGAGAGAACCCTCGGGTGATCTTGCTCCGAATAATGCGGGGGAAATTGCTTGGCAGGAGAGAGAGTGATGCTTAGTTCCCCTTTCCAAGAACTGCCCGCCGGGCATCCTGAAGCTGTCGCTAGACCGGAGCGAAATAATGCAATTTCACTACGGAAAATTAAAGCACATAACGGCCACCAATGATGTCACTTTCTAGGCTGTTATGTGAACTCTTGTTCGCTCGTTTCCCTGGAGCGGATCTCGCCATGCCTCCTGACCCGAAACTAGCCCCGAGCCTGCTGGCCATCATACATGTAATGGCTTAGCATGCTAATGCATGGTTACAATGCTCTTGTCATTGCGCTACCGAGATGGGAAATTGGACCAGGTTCTTGGCCTTTGTCTAGCTCCGCATTGAAGTTCCATGCTGGGTATATAAGATGATGAAATTTACCCTGTGCCTCATATTCGACTACTACGAGTCGAACCCCCTCTCTGTGTTGGTGGGATAAACTCTCTATTGTTTCCACCATGCGACGGCCATCTTTCTGGGTCGCTCTTGGAGCGCTAGCCAGTGAGGTACTCTCACGACCAACGGAGAGTAGGTCGTCCGATACCATCAAAGTGCACTGGGTCGGCGATGCTCCGGAATATCATGCTGGAACAACGTTCGGCCTTCCGTGGCCCCAGGGAAAGTACAGATCCAACGACACCCAGTTTACTATTGCTGGTCAATCGAATGAGCAAATTCCGCTACAGTCTTGGGTAACGGGCTACTGGCGCGATGGCTCAATCAAATGGACTGGGCACGCTATTCCACCGCTTGACACCATTGACAGCGAATATCGCGTCAGCGCCTCGGTGTCGCGCCGACCGGCTTCCAACCATTCCGACACATCGTCGGGATTGAAGGTGACCAACAAAGCCGATGAGATCACGGTTAATACGGGTAAATTGACGGCATCTTTCCCGAAACAAGGAAATATCGTTGTGGGTTCTATCACGACATCGAGTGGTAAGGTAGTTGGGGAAAATGGAAAGCTTGTGCTCCATACCCAGTCTGGAGTGGCAGAGGATATTTCATCGCGGGCTAACGCATCCATTAACTACTTCAATTTTCAAAGCAATGTTGAAAATGTCACTGTCAGCAAGGATAATGCTGTTCGGACTTTGCTCACGGTGAATGGAAAACACCAAACATCCGGCAGTGGCGATCACGATGACTGGCTCCCATTCGTTCTGCGCTTTTATTTCTACGCCAACTCTGACTCTATAAGGGTGGTTCACAGTATTGTCTTCGACGGAAAACCAGAGGAGGACTTTATTACTGGCCTTGGAATCCAATTCGAGGTTCCCCTTGAGGGCGAGGAGCTGTATAACCGCCATATCCGTCTACCTGGTGTGGATGGCGGTTATCTCAATGAAGCCGTTCAAGGAATCACTGGCTTGCGTCGCGACCCTGGCGAGGAAGTCCGTTCAGCACAGTATGAAGGCAAAGTGACCCCCAACATCAGCACGTGGGATGAAAGAGTTTCATCTCGTATGCAGTGGATCCCTGTCTGGAACGATTACAAGCTGAGCCAATTGTCGCCTGATGGGTTTACCCTCAAGAAAAGGACCAAGCCGGGCCAGGCGTGGATCAATATCCCGGGTGGCACGCGATCTTCCGGACTTGCTTACCTTGGTGGTGCCACACAAGGTGGGCTTGCGATCGGCCTGCGTGATTTCTGGAAGAGGTATCCTTCAGGGTTAGATATCACCGACGCGGGTGCCAACAAGGGCCAGATCACGCTTTGGCTGTATAGTCCTGAAGTAGCACCTTTGGACTTGAGACCATTCCATGATGGGCTGGGACAAGATACCTACGAAAAACAGACTGACGCGCTCGAAATTACCTACGAAGATTATGAGTCTGGATTTAACACACCTTACGGTATCGCCAGAACCAGTGAAATCTTCCTGCACGCGTTTGATGCCACTCCCGAGAGCGATAACCTGGCGCTTTTGGGCAGGTATATCAATGAGCCTCCAGTTCTCGTACCCGAGCCCGAGTATATCAAGGACACCAAGGCAGCCGGTTCCTACTGGGCTCTGCCAGACACATCAAATGAGAAGTCTTCGACAATTGAAAACCACCTAGATTTCCTTGCAAAGTTTTATCAGGGCCAGATTGAGGACCGTCGTTGGTATGGATTCTTGGACTATGGTGACATTATGCATACCTACGATGAGGACAGGCATACTTGGCGCTATGATGTTGGTGGCTATGCATGGGACAACTCCGAACTATCCCCAGACTTGTTCTTCTGGCAGTATTTCCTTCGCACTGGACGAGCAGATATTTACCGGTTTGCAGAGGCATTGACACGTCACACTGGTGAGGTAGATGTGTATCACATTGGGGACTGGAAAGGTCTCGGAACTCGACATGGTGTCCAACACTTTGCTGATAGCGCCAAGCAAGTTCGTATCGCTCAGCCTCTGTATAGGAAATACTTTTATTACTTGTCCGGTGGTGATGAGCGAGTTGGCGAGCTTTTGGAGGAGGCGATCGACGCTGATAAGACATACGGAATCTTGGACCCACAGAGGAAGGTTAGGACTGATGGTTGGACCCCGGAGCCTGGAAAACCTGTTGCATTCTCTCTCGGAACAGATTGGGCTGGTCTCGCTGCTGGTTGGCTGATTGAGTGGGAGCGACGCGGGCCGCGTTGGCAAGAAGCCAGGAAGAAGCTGACGGGTACGGCCAAAGGAATCGCCAGTTTCAAGAACGGTTTCGTTACGGGAGAGGGCTTATATGCCATCAGCAACGGCACACTGCTCCCACCCCCGACTGATCCAAACAACGAGGGCGTTGTGTCTATCTCCCACTTGAACGCTGTGTTCGGCATGCCGGAGGTTGTTTCGGAGTTGCTCGAGTACTGGGGTGATGATGCACCAGAAGGCCTGGAGAGTGCCTGGCTTGATTACTGCTACTACTATGGCGCAACGAAGGAGGAGCAGAAAGAGCGCTATGGTGAATCGTTTAGCGGTATCAGTCTGATCCAGGGCCACTCGCGCTTGACGGCGTACTATGCGAGGCATAGCAACAACGTGACCGTGGCTGAGCGAGCATGGAAGGAGTTCTATAACAATACTGATGGTTTTACCGCCGATGAGCCCTGGGCTTCGGAGCCTGTGAATGGAAGCGCTGTGCTCATTCCAGTGGATGAAGCTACATGGATATCGACGAACGCTGTGGCACAGTATGGGCTGGCTGCTATTCAGGACTTGGCACTAGTTGGCGACGCTGTGACACAGTCCCCTTATGGCGTTTAGTAGACTCAGCTATCCCAAATAGAAACACCCGTCACTTGAATATATTGTGCTCTTATAACACTTTGAAAATGCTGATCCTCGCCTTTTAAGGGAAAGCATGTTTAAAATATCTTGGTATTTGATCTATCTTTACTCGTAATGGAAGGAAAAAAAATACAATACTCAGGCGCCGAATATGCTCGCCTGAGTTAAACCGAGCTTCTCCATAACATAATTGTAATTACCCTCCGACGCTCGCGTTTTCGGGTGATCCGGGCCCAGTGCCTTCCGATTAATATCATAAGCTGCTTTCAACAGAGGGTGAGCCTCTTGTAGTCTGTCCGCCCTGACATACGCCACTGCCAGATTGTTCATGGTGCCCACCGTCTCCGGGCTTTCATCACCAAGGGACCGGCGAGATAGTTCCAGGGCCCGCTCCAGCAAGGTTAATGCTTTCTGTTGTCCATCGGTCGTCCCAAGTGCCTGGTACGTTGATGCTAGATTTATCGAACAGCGAATGGTGGTCTCACTGGCTTCGCCTAAACTGTTTGTCGCAAGCTCAAGCGCTTCCTCCTGGTACCTCGCAGCTTTCTCCACTTGGCCTAACTCCCGGCAGTCAACACCAAGCAAATCCATAGCCATGATTGTTTCAAAGTGGTCTGGACCAAGTGTCTTTACCCGGAGCTCGAGTGTCTTCTCATGTAACCTGGCGGCATCGCCAAACCGACCCTGTTGATGATAGCTATTCGCCAAGTTATTCATGCTCGTCTGGGTCGCCCGAGAATCCTCTCCTTCCACTTTCATAAGTATATCCAACGCTTGCTCCTCAAAACGGAATGCCTCATCGAACTTAGCAAGGCCTTTAAGGTCCAGCGCAATATTATTCAAAGCCTTAGCGGTGTCGGTGTGATCTGGTCCAGAGACTCTCAGGCGGGCAGCATGCACGCCACGATCTATCTGCTCGGCCTCCTGGTACTCACCATGCTTGCGGAGGTGGTAGGCAAGGATTGCTTTTGTTTCTAGCGTATCATCGTGGTCGGGCCCGTTTTGCTGCTCTGACAGCTGTACGGCCTGGTCTAGTTTTGCTCGCGCTTCGGCCCATCTGTTTTCTTCTAGTAGAACATCGCATTCAGCCATTAGATTTTGGATCGTTGGCCCGGTATCTTCCATTTCGTTTGGAGGGGACGTAGGGTTTGGTGAGCTACTCGATTTTGATCTTCTGCACCAACAACCCATTATTGACTTCAAGATAAAGGCCGATGGTGATGATGGCCTGGATAGAGACAGACAAGAAGAAACGAAAGCGAAAACGAAGAGGGAAGAGCCGATCAAGCCCCAAGAAGGCTCTCTTAAATAGTAAAGAAAAAAAAATAACCTAAGACTTTCACCGATGGCGATCACCTCGTACAGACTGTGCTTGGCAATCGT